AGGGTCCCCCTGGTTCTCGGGGTCCCCCCCACTCTTGGGGTCCCCCCTCAATTATGGGGGACGTGGGGTTTCCTCCTGCTCCTTGGGGGTCACCACAGATGCTCAGGGTCCCCCTAATTCTTGGGGTCCCCCCCATTATGGGGGCGCCCCCCTAATTATGGGGGTCTTGGGGTATCCTCCTGCCCCCTCTGGGTCACTACAGATCCTCAGGGTCCCCCTGATTCTTGGGGTCCCCCCCCTTATTGGGGTCCCCCCTCAATTTTGGGCTTCTTGGGTTTTCCTCCTGCACTTTGGGGGTCACCACAGATGCTCAGGTTCCTCTGGGTTCTTGGGGTCCCCCCCATTCTTGGGGTCCCCCCTCAATTATGGGGGTTTCGAGGCTTCCTCCTGCTGCTTGGGGGTCACCACAGATGCTCAGGTTCCTCCTGGTTCTCGGGGTCCCCCCATTCTTGGGGCCCCCCCCAAATTATGGGGGTCTAGGGGTTTCCTCCTGCCCCCTCCAGGTCACTACAGCCCCTCAGGGTCCCCCTGATTCTCGGGGTCCCCCCCATTCTTGGGGTCCCCCCTCAATTATGAGGGTCTCGGGGTTTCCTCCTGCTCCTTGGGGGTCACCACAGATGCTCAGGGTCCCCCTAATTCTTGGGGTCCCCCCCATTATGGGGGCGCCCCCCTAATTATGGGGGTCTTGGGGTATCCTCCTGCCCCCTCTGGGTCACTACAGATCCTCAGGGTCCCCCTGATTCTTGGGGTCCCCCCCCTTATTGGGGTCCCCCCTCAATTTTGGGCTTCTTGGGTTTTCCTCCTGCACTTTGGGGGTCACCACAGATGCTCAGGTTCCTCCTGGTTCTCGGGGTCCCCTCCACTTTTGGGGTCCCCCCTCAATTATGGGGGTTTCGAGGTTTGCTCCTGCTGCTTGGGGGTCACCACAGATGCTCAGGTTCCTCCTGGTTCTCGGGGTCCCCCCATTCTTGGGCCCCCCCCCAAACTATGGGGGTCTAGGGGTTTCCTCCTGCCCCCTCCAGGTCACTACAGCCCCTCAGGGTCCCCCTGATTCTCGGGGTCCCCCCCATTCTTGGGGTCCCCCCTCAATTATGAGGGTCTCAGGGTTTCCTCCTGCTCCTTGGGGGTCACCAGAGATGCTCAGATTCCTCCTGGTTCTCGGGGTCCCCCCATTCTTGGGGCCCCCCCCAAATTATGGGGGTCTAGGGGTTTCCTCCTGCCCCCTCCAGGTCACTACAGCCCCTCAGGGTCCCCCTGATTCTCGGGGTCCCCCCCATTCTTGGGGTCCCCCCTCAATTATGGGGGTTTCGAGGCTTCCTCCTGCTGCTTGGGGGTCACCACAGATGCTCAGGTTCCTCTGGGTTCTTGGGGTCCCCCCCATTCTTGGGGTCCCCCCTCAATTATGGGGGTTTCGAGGCTTCCTCCTGCTGCTTGGGGGTCACCACAGATGCTCAGGTTCCTCTGGGTTCTTGGGGTCCCCCCCATTCTTGGGGTCCCCCCTCAATTATGGGGGTTTCGAGGCTTCCTCCTGCTGCTTGGGGGTCACCACAGATGCTCAGGTTCCTCTGGGTTCTTGGGGTCCCCCCCATTCTTGGGGTCCCCCCTCAATTATGGGGGTTTCGAGGCTTCCTCCTGCTGCTTGGGGGTCACCACAGATGCTCAGGTTCCTCTGGGTTCTTGGGGTCCCCCCCATTCTTGGGGTCCCCCCTCAATTATGGGGGTTTCGAGGCTTCCTCCTGCTGCTTGGGGGTCACCACAGATGCTCAGGTTCCTCTGGGTTCTTGGGGTCCCCCCCATTCTTGGGGTCCCCCCTCAATTATGGGGGTTTCGAGGCTTCCTCCTGCTGCTTGGGGGTCACCACAGATGCTCAGGTTCCTCTGGGTTCTTGGGGTCCCCCCCATTCTTGGGGTCCCCCCTCAATTATGGGGGTTTCGAGGCTTCCTCCTGCTGCTTGGGGGTCACCACAGATGCTCAGGTTCCTCTGGGTTCTTGGGGTCCCCCCCATTCTTGGGGTCCCCCCTCAATTATGGGGGTTTCGAGGCTTCCTCCTGCTGCTTGGGGGTCACCACAGATGCTCAGGTTCCTCCTGGTTCTCGGGGTCCCCCCATTCTTGGGCCCCCCCCCAAACTATGGGGGTCTAGGGGTTTCCTCCTGCCCCCTCCAGGTCACTACAGCCCCTCAGGGTCCCCCTGATTCTCGGGGTCCCCCCCATTCTTGGGGTCCCCCCTCAATTATGGGGGTCTCGGGGTTTCCTCCTGCTCCTTGGGGGTCACCACAGATGCTCAGGTTCCTCCTGGTTCTCGGGGTCCCCTCCACTTTTGGGGTCCCCCCTCAATTATGGGGGTCTTAGAGTTTCCCCTTGCCCCCTCTGGGTCACTAGAGGTCATCAGGGTCCCCCTAGTTCTCGGGGTCCCCCCCACTATTGGGGTCCCCCCTCAATTATGGGGGACGTGGGGTTTCCTCCTGCTCCTTGGGGGTCACCACAGATGCTCAGGTTCCTCCTGATTCTTGGGGTTCCCCCCATTATGGGGGAGCCCCCCTAATTATGGGGGTCTTGGGGTATCTTCCTGCCTCCTCTGGGTCACTATGGGTCCTCAGGGTCGCCCTAGTTCTTGGGGTCCCCCCCTCAATTATGGGGGTCTTGGGGTTTCCTCCTGCCCCCTCCAGGTCCCTATAGATCCTTAGGGTCCCCCCCAGTTTTTGGGGTTCCCCCCAATTATGGGGTTCTGAGGGTTTTCTCCAGCCCCCTGGGTGTCACCACGGCGGCTCAGGGTCCCCAGAGATACTGGGGGGGCCCCTCCAAGCTTTTGGGGTCCCTTCTTGACCCCTGGGGTCCCCCTGACTTTTGGGGATCCTTAAGGCTGCTGAGTCCTGCCTGGAATTTTGGGATTCCCACCTTCAGGATCACTTAAAACCCCTCAAATTATGAAGATCTGTGGGGTTTGGGGTCTCTCGTGGGGTTTTGGGGTCTCCCGTGGGTTTTGGGGTCCCCCCATGGGTATTTTTCCCCCCCAAACCAGGGCCGGGGAGCCCCCCGAGGAGCCGGAGGAGGAATGGGAAGCCTCGGAGCGGGAGCGGCTGCGGGATTTGGAGGAAAGAGACGCTTTTGCCGAGAGGCTGCGACGCCGCG